AAGAGGGAGATGGGGAAGGGATCCCTGCTGCAGTGATTCCACCTGAGCTGGGTGAGTAAAGTGAGGAATCCCAGTAGAAACAGTTGTGGGTCTGGCAACATCATTCCAGGGAGCAGGGAGGAAGGACTGATGGTCTGAGTCAGGGCTGAGGTGAAGAGCTGATAGGAAACAGGTTGGACAAGGAGTAGATTTGGTGTGTGGGGGCGGTCAGAATTGATGTACACATAGAACGATGAAAGGAACTACAGGAGCATCACTGATTTTGAATTTAGAAGGCAAACTTAATTGCTAGGCAAGGGCAGATGAATCAATGGGGTCAGATGATTTGCATGGCTAAAAGGCCAATATTATCTTTTTGACTTAATTTGGGAAGGTGGTCAATGTTTACTGTCACTCCCACACACTCCTAGGAGATGGCTTGAGGCATTTCAGAAATCCCAGGCAGATTGAAATCTACATTTTAGTGGTGGGACGAGGTTAAGTATGTTTTTTGGGGCCCATGTCAGGATTGTGAGGTCTCTGATTCATGATTCTTGATCTCTTGAGGCTGGCAGTTTTGAAGTACAACATTTTTGGCTAAAGTACTTATGATCCCTGCTTCCTCTCCTTCCTCCCCATAATATTGCTTATGTTAGGTACATCACCTTGGGAAATCACTATAATAGTTTCCATATTTGGGTTGTCATAATTTAGGGTTTATTAAGGAGTGTTTCTGCACAAGGAATGTTCACAGGCAAATCCTGGTTTCTGAGGTATGCTTAGGGTACCTGCTGATCTAAGGGCAGCCACTTGTGTCTCTTTTTCTCATCTGGGTTCTTACATAGCCCTTTTCATTCAGGGTACTGAGCCTGCATCCAGATTTTGCTGGATCTGGCATGTTGCCTTTAAATAAAGACTCTTAGAATAAGAAGCAGTGGGTCCAGGGGGAAAAGCAGCACGATTAATTAGACTGTGGGCTAGGAAAAGTTTCTCCTTTATAGTCCAAGTTTCTACTAAAGGTGTTGTGAGTAGCTACTCAGCTTGCTGACCTCATTGGGTGCGTCCAAACAAGTGCACACATGCCTCTTGCAGTGCTGCATATTTGCAGCATGGGGGCAGAATTTGGTACCTGGATATCCAGGTACCAAAATAAAACCTAAGTGAAAAAAGCAGGGCAGGGCACTGTGCCCTGAGGCAACTGGAGGCTCGGGTCCTCTACAGAGCCACTCTGGTAGCCACCTAGAGCATCTCTATGGCTGGCCCTTGCCCTGGTGTTGAAGCACAATGCCTGTCCATGCAGGGCAAGCAGCATGCAGGCTGCAGGGACCTGGACCTGGGCTCTGAGCTGGGTAAGTAGGGGATGGGGGGGCTGGAGGAGCAGGGAGGGGACCATGGGGGGGGGCCCCTGCCCAGCCCCCATTCACTCCCCCAGCCCCCCATCACCCTCCACCACCCAGTCCCAGGCCCCGATCGCTTCCCTGCCCAGCCCCAGTGTCCCCACACTCAGCAGCTGCAGCAGCAGCTGTTGGGGGGCCACTCAGACCTCGTGGCAGAGTCCCCACACGCAGCGCAGGGCAGCAGGAGGGAGCAGGGATCGGCCCAAGCTGCCTGGTACCTGCACTGCTGCTGCTGCATCGTGTGGGTGCAGCCCGGCTTGGCAGGGTACCGTGTGGCACCACGTGCTGTCTGGCAGCTCAGGGCTGCTCCAGATGTCACCCAGAGTCTGGTGCCGCTCAGCCTGAGCAGCCCCAAGCTGCCAGACAGCCCACAGCACCACGTGGCACCCTGCCAAGGCAGGCTGCACCCACACAATGCAGCAGTGACAGCACAAGTGCCAGGCAGCTGGGACAAATGCCTGCTGCCCCCCATGCCACCAGGGGGTGGTCTGCCATGAGGCCCCAGCAGCCCTGACTGCCACTGCTACAGCCAGTGAGTACAGGGACACTGAGGCTGGGCCAGGCAGCAATCAGGGGCTGGGACTGGGTGATGGGGTGATGGAGGGGCTGGGGAAGCAAGCAGGGGCTGGGGCTGGGCAGGGGACTGTGCGGGGGAGTGAGCAGGGGCTGGGGCTGGGCGGGGGGGCATGTGGCCCCTGTTGGGGGACTTTGGCCCCTGTTGAGGGTCTGTGGGCTTCTGTTGAGGGGCTGTAGCCCCTGTTTGGGGGCTGTGACCCTGTGGAGGGGGCAGTCCGTGAGCTGTGCAAGGTGGGGGCTGCTTCCTGCGGGGGGCAGGGGACCCACCCCTCCTGTGCAGACCCCCTTTCCATTCCCCCACACCTACAGCCCCCGCACAATCCACCCACAAACCTCATATCCCCAAGCCACCCCCATAAACCCCTCACCCACATACCTGGCCCTGTGACTCAGGAATGAGGGAACTGGGGTGGGGGGCAGGCTGTGGGTTGAGAATGAGGGGTAAGGGCAGAGGCAGGGCACTCAGTGCTGCTCAGTACTGCATATCCTGGTGAGGGAAGCGGGTAGGGGCATCTCTGATTTTTCTACAACAAAGAAGTCAAAAGTCAATGCCAAATTGTATAGATAATTAGAACTTATTTTATTATGATGATAGAGGCACTGGTAGGTTTCCAAATTGCTTTAAAATTATAAATATATCAATAAAACATTGCCCAACTGATTTGATCTCTTTCTCTCTCTCTCTCTCTCTCTTTCTGCATATATATGTCTAGTGGTCTTTTGTTTTACTTGTAGAAGATGGATTTTGGAGTATTTTAAAAAGTGACTTTGGGATTTTTTTTATCAGGGATTTTGCAGTTTTTAAATAGGGAACACCAGAATTCCTGCTAGTAAGGCAAGTGGCGGGACCCAGTCAGAGGAGCCTGCTCAGAGCTGGCAACCAGGACCCAGCTGGAGGTGCCTGACCTCCTGGCCACTTGGGGCCAGGAGGGCATGCTTTAACTGTTCAAAGCAGGCCACCACACTGAGAACATCTGGGTGATAGCTGCCCAGATGGCTGGGTGGTGGCACACACAGCAGTAGTGCCACACAAAGGCCAACTCTGCAGCCATTGCCCACTGGCAGCTGGCCCAGAGGTGCAGATGCCTCTAATGGCCATGCAGTCCCCATCTGGGTCTAGCAGGCATGCAGCCTTTGGGCCACATGCTGTCACAGGTAGCAGCAGGTCACAGCCAGGCAGCAGCCCCCACTGCCAGACTGCTGCAGTGGGTAGAGAGTTCAGGGAACTTTCACCAAAGTGCATGTCTGGGCACATGCACTGAGGCAAAAAGCCCCAGCTCAAATTTGCGCACTTCTTTTTGAGCTGCTGCAAGCACACGTGCCTGCAGGTGTGGACGCGCCCATAAAGGGCATTGATTAACCAAACTATGTCTGCCACAATGAGCTATTCTGCAGCAGTGGTGGTGATTGCTGTTGAAGCCAATAGCTGTGATTCTCTGCTCACCAGTAGGGCATCATGTTCTTTTGCCTTCTCTCTGATTTTGTGAAATACTCATCCTGTTACCAGTTTACATATTAAGTTTTTCAGCCACCTCCTTCTGAGATCTAGGCACAAGTACAAGGAGGTAGTCTGAAATGATTACATGCGTCTCCTTGATATATTTACTCTCTGGGGACCACCCACGTCATAGAATGCATTTAAATTGTTCACCAAGCATTCTTCTGTAGTCAAGACTAAATTACAGATTCTCTTTTTACAGAATACAAGAAAAATTAGCTACTTTTCAAAGCACTGTTATTAGAGAGGCATTTTAGGAGTAGGATCCCTTTATTGGAGACCTTTCAAAAACTGGGGAAAGTCTTCACACCTTCTAAACTCTGTTGATTGTTAGTGATTTAATGGTAGGCTGCAATAAAGTACTAAGAGGTAAAAACAAGCCCCCCTTTTTTGCAAGCAAAATTAAATAACTTAGAGTGCAGGTGCTAGAAAAGGAGATGAAATCCCTATTAGAAAAAGTGCATTGTTTTCAATTTGCAAATGAGAACTGTAAATACTTCTGAGTATTCCAACAATATATTTTAGTTTTAATTATTTCAGTCAATAAGTCATTGTTGCATCAAACCTTTAGCACTGCAACCGTGGCATTTAGGAAACATAGTGAATCATATTTGATAGCACAATCCTGCTAGGATGCATATTTACTTGCATTTTGTAAGGTTTACGCCTTATGAAGCAATCTTTTCCTTTATTTGGGAGTGCCTATTTGTCAGCATCAATAGAATGTTTCTTTTATGCTGTTTAAAAATGTGTTACTTGATGATGCACAAAGCAGTCATTTTCTACAAAATCTATGGCTACTGGTAGCAAACATTTGTTTCCCTCAGGTATTTACCTTCAGAAAAGAATTAGCAAGCTCGTGGGGATTTGCTAGCTAAGAATAACCATAAGAAGGATGTCATTTATGTGCAGTAACTGGGATAAATTACTATATTTTAATTTTTTATACAAAAAGCACAATATTAAACTTTGCCTTTGTAGAAAGTATGAAATGTCATATCTAAATTATTTTGATAAATGGTAATACATTTCTTCTTTTTTTTGTTCTCCAGAATGCTAGAAGATGACCTCAAGTTAAGTAGTGATGAAGAAGAGAATGATCAGGTAAGAGCTACTGAATTAAGCTGCAACTCATATGCCTATACACTCTCTATGGTAATCACAGGGTTGCTGCCAGGAGACAAGTCCCACCCACTCACTCCTATTCTGCATGTGCCACATGCTAAAAAAATGTCATGCAGCATTTTGTGGAGCATGCCCAAAGTTATGCTCAAGATCTCTGTATGCTGAGAGCTCCAGAGAGCAGTGCTGGACCCATCTGACAGGAACCAAACATCCTTTTTCAGCATGTAGCATGTACAGAACAAAAGCAAGTGGCTGTGGCTTGTTTCTCATAGGTGGTTTTAGGATTACTGTAGAGGTGGTACAGATGTCCCCCTTGTAGAATGGTTAACTCTAAGATAGATTTCTTTAAAAGTAATATTTTGCCGGTATTTTTTTAAGTATGTGTAGAGGTTATCAAAATAATTGAAAATACTCTAAATGTAATAACAGATGTGCTTGCTTCATGCCAGATTATTTGTGCTAACTACTGTACTTGTTGGAAATGTTCTCCACTGCTCCTGATTTATTTACTTGATGCATCCCAGAAATATTTTTGGATCAGTTCATTAAACAAAAAAAGAATTCTGTTGTAAAGATTCAGACTCTTTAAACTTGCGGATATAAATTTAGGCAGCTGGAGCTTAATCTGAAAGCCTAAAACTCCAACCCAACTCCATACGCACTAAGGGTGTTTATAAACATGCTGCAAGAGTGGGGGTGCTTTAGAGTAGCTCCGAGAAACACTCTAACTAAAGCACCCGGAGTGTCACGTGTATCTGCATCCCTGTGCTGAAAAATGGTGGCAGGGGTGCTTTAACTAAAGCTCACTGAATTAATCGAGCCTGCTGATGTGTGGTATTACCACACTGCAGCAGATTCCAGCATCACATGCATCAGCATCCCTGCACTGAAAAATGGTGGTGGGGGTGCTTTAACTGAAGCTCATTAAATGTTAAAGCATTGAATGAGCTTCAGTTAAAGCACTCCCCGCTGCCATTTTTCAATGCAGGGATGCTGATACACATGACGCTGGAGTCTGCTGGAGCATGGTAATTACTAGGGGTGTGCAAAACAGGCCATATTTGATTAGGATTCGGATTCAGCCTGAATCAGGGACTGATTCGATTAGTTTGTATCTGCTGAGGCATGAAGTTAAATGTGCGACTCAAGGCACTCCAGCGTGAAAATGTTAATCTCCTTGTCCTCAGATTCATCAGCTTTAATGTCTATTATTTTAAAACATCTTCCAAACTATAAACCAGATAAAACCCTTTGATATTAGATATGCTAACATTTCACCAGTTTTAAATGAAGCACTTAGATGGTAAAAAGTTTCAGCACATGGATTAAATTATTTAACATATTTATACAATTTCTTTTGTTTAATGTATTTCACCATGAAACCCTTCAGATTTCATTACTTTTCTTGTATGTCTAGACAGTTTAATGAACATCCTATAGACAGACTAGGCAAGGTAAAGTAAGGGCATGTCTTGTCTACAGTCCCAACTTACTATGCCAGGCAACAGCATACTCAAACATATTGCACTGCTCCATACACACTACCCCTGTACCAGAAACAGTTTTGCCATGCTCATAAGGCACTGAAAAAATCTTTTCGGCTCTGCCTCTCTATATAACACTGACTGATACAGTAAACTTTCAAGATATACACATGCTCTAAGAGGGAAAACAATGTCTGGGGGACAATAACAAAGCACAAGGGTATTACAGAGGTCAGGGAGTATGATATAAACATTTTAGCAAAAGACAAGTCTGATTTTAAGTGTTGTAGTGTACCCTAGTTTAGAGAGAAGAGCTGAGTCTTAATTAAAGATAGGATCTGATGAATTAGGCTTCAGCTTGGGACAATGCAGTTGTTTCTGATAATGTCTGAAGACAGGAATATGTATTTTCATCCAGGTGAGGAGGATGTAAATGATAGTAGTATAGAAATCAAGATAAGAAATGGATACATAACAGCTTCAATAGAGGACGTGGGCAAGGCATTACCAAATTTGTACCGTATTTTAGGAGTAACAGCAGGCAGGATTCTCTGACTTGAGAGAAGCAAAGGAAAACAGGTTTGAGCGGAGTGTGTGAGAGCTTACAGTAATTACATTATCCACACTTATTAGCCAGTCTCTTAATTTTAAATACTTAAATGTATCTTTCCCCCTTAATGAGCATAGTTTATCCATTTAAACTGATCATTGTAATTTTATAGGCGATGATCATAGAATCTATTATGTAGAGGAAAATTTCCTGTTGGCATATTTTACTTCAAACAGACTGAAGAACATATACTTTTAAATCTCCAATCAATATTTGAAGAGCACACAATTAACAGGTAGCTAGGTAGTTAACATAAATCTGCAAGTTAAGGAGCTAATTCATTTTGTTTTATAAAACATGGAGTAATCATTTTGTCATCATCTCACTCAGAAAATGTCTGAAGCTTTGTAGCGTAGCATGAAGATGTCAAAATTATACTTAAGATTGTTCAGAGTACTGAATTGTGGTAGTTATTGCCTTTCAGTTTCCTGAAGTATGGAATTGCACGCAAAACATTGCTATTATAATTCTATGCTCTTCATTGTAGAGGTCACAGGATAACTTAAACCAGTCTTGGGTGTAATATTAAAAGGAGATTGCCAACTGTAATGAGAAAATTCTTTTTTTCTTTTCTTTTCTTTTCTTCTTGTCCTTTTACAATATGAAAATTTTGTAATAGGAAGCAGTTCCTTTAAGAGGGAAAAACTCTGAAATCATTTATGCCATTCATGTCAATCAATAGCCAAATAAATTAACTGACTGGTACACATATATGGAATAATAATCTAACATCTTTTGCAACCAAAGTCTGCTTCCTTGTATGCATTTTCTTCCTCAGGATCAGGTTGGTTGCTGCTGAAGTTTTGTGGCTGTGAAAATTTATTACCCACAGAGTCAATCTGCATTCAGGCTGCCAAGTCTGAATAAATAGAATCATTGTGCCTGTCTGGAATATGTAACCAAAGTTCATCCAGTCAGCTTGACTTTTGCATCCTAGGGGATTCATAAAAGCCAACACCCTGGTATGTGCTCTTGATTCCTGCCAAAATTTTGTAAAATTGTATAAACAGAAGTTGAAGAAGCAATCAGACCCACTCTGAAGGACGCGACTCCAAACTCAAACTCCTGCTCTATCTTCAAAGAAAAGAACCGAGTTTCAGTTCTTTTATTAATAATCAAATGGACAGCCCATAGCAGGAGAAGGTAAGTAGAAAGGTTGAATGGCCATAGGTATGGCGCATAGGAAAAATCAGTGAATGATTATACCTCAAGCATTGTTTACTGTATTCATTTTACTGAATACACTACACAAAAGGAAATATTAAAAGAGGTTTTACATGTGGCTGCCCTCTTTAGGAAGCTATAGGAATCAACAGATGCTGTAGGATCTCTCTTCACTGTTACTGTCAATGGCCCAAGCCAAGGGAGAACCAAAATAAATAAAAGAATATGTTCCCTTCAAGAAGCCTTTAAGAAAGAAACAGCCTCAAAAAAAAGTCCTAAGGCCCTTATCACAGGGCCCCAGATCAGAAAAACAGTGTCTGAAGTCTGGCTTGGCTACTCACCTAGACCCAAGAGAGAAATTGCTACCCAATCAGCCCACCCAACTCTAGACCATACTCTCCCTTGCTTTGTTTCCTTTTCTTGATTGTGCAGCCCAATCCTGGGGTAGGAAAGGGCAAGTGGTGTATGCCTGGCCTGTGTGAGTTGTAGATTCAAAAGAATCCCAGAGGCTAGGTATAAACATTACACTTTTACCAGTATAAGTGATCAGAAACTGGTCTATACCCATAACAGAACAGGAGTTCTGCACACACAGACGGGTTTAAAAATGACAGAACCCAGTGTAAGGGTGTTTATAGACATGCTCTGGGAGTGGGGGGATGCTTTAATTAGAGCAGCTCTTGGTGTACCCAGAGCATCACATGTATTAGCATCCCCACACTGAAAAATGACAGCAGGCATGCTTTAACTAAAGCTCGTTGAACAATTAAAGTTAAAGTGCCCCTGCTGCCATTTTTCACCACAAGGATGCTAATACACATGATGCTAGAGTCTGCTGGAGCACTCTAATTACCATGCTCCAGCAGACTCAATTAATTGAGTCTGCTCCCACGCACTGTAATTATAGTGCATCAGAGCAGCCTTGCTGCACATGTATAGGTATCTTAAGTTTCCCTTCCCCCTTACACCCCTGCCAAAGGGTAAATGTGTGTTCTGCTTGCTGCTGATCTAAAATATGCCGCTTACAGAAAATCGAGTCACTCAGATCAATTCCACCTCTGACTTTTTGAATGTCTGTAGTCATAAAGAGATAATCCGCCTCATCACAATTTTGTCCATGCTACAAAGGTATGATTGCAGCTAGTACTGCATCACTGAACTCATTTTAACTAGCAGGTTTCAGTACTAATAACAGCGTAGCTGAGGCAGGTCAGCACAGGTTGCAAAACCTATCCCAGACCCTGAGTAAATACTCAGGTAGCTAGCCCTGACAAAGCTGAGATGCCCTGATTATACAGTTATCATACATGTGATAGCCAGCTTAATGTTAGCACCAGTATGTTTACATGGACTGCAATTAAACTGCAGTCTGCAGTGTAGGCATACCCATTGGCTAGTACAAATATAAGTTTCTTTAAATCTAAAAATTGTATTATAGCTGATAAAAGCCAAGCATTCAAACTGAATAAGCTTCTGTCAGGGTTCTCTAGAGCACAGAAATTTAGAAGCCAGTTATATAGTACTGCCTGTCAGCTCTTTTTCCTTCCTTGTGAATGAAACAACAGTATATTAATCCTGTTGCTCAGTTACAATCAATGCAACTATGTATTCAACAGCAGGATGTCATTTGTTTGGAGAACTCCTAATGTTGTGTTTAGTGAATATATTTTACTGCAACCATAAACAACAACAAAAAAAGAAATGAATATCCTTAAAGATTC